TACACGCATACATACACGCATACATACACGCATACACGCACGCATATACGCACGCATACACGTACGCATACACGCACGCATACACGCACGCATACACGTACGCACGCATGCGCCGCCTTTAGAGAAATGTGGAGCGATCATTTTGCGAGAGACCGAATGCTGACGGATTATAACCTTGCTAGCACGAACAATATATATAATAGGCCCACAGGCAAAGATTTCTGCTGCGCTATTCGAGACGTATCTTCATTGTGTTAGACAGTTTACAACCACTCCGGCGTGCGCACGCTCTGTCTACCGTTGATGACAGAACTCTGTCTCGTGACCTTTCGCTCACAACACGCCAAAGCATAGCTTGGCAGTCATGAACAGCCGTGTATACGTATAAAATGCACGCTAATCGCCATGCCCTTTGATGCGTCCTTCACGTTCCACGTGTACGGGTCCGTCTGCCAAGGTGTCGGCGGGCATTGTTAATGCTAATCATCTGCGAGCAGCAAGCGCGTGAGCAACTATGATCCGTCATATTGGATGGCTTCTATCTTTTGTTCATATGAGCACTCTGTCTCGCGCGATGTTCGCTTTTACACTGCTTGTACGTAAAGGTCAATCGTGTTGTCCATGCGTTGGCAGATGTTCCCCTTTCGCGTAGACGTCGGTGTATTCAGGGGCTACTTAAACAAAGAGACAGAGTTAAACGCGCATATGATTGAGGATCCCAGTGGCTTAATCATGATAGTATGTTGTCAAGATAGTATAGTTAAACTGTTTAGTCTTGGATAGATGAATAGGAAATGAGGTGCAATTATTAGATTGCTTGATGGTTGATCTGGTATATGCCTTATTTCCAGAGCAATTGTTCACTTAATACAAACACAAGACTTGTAGGACAGAATATGATGATACTAGCATAATCTCATGTGCATATATAATCGACATGTAACCATTGCATGTACCTATGTTGATATATGGACCGTGAAATGTGTGTCATGTAACTGATTCGTGTTCTTCTGCTTTGCAGTGCTGCAAGATGAGGGGGAACACCAAGCAGGCTGGATAGAGGGTGTTGCAATCCTAGTGTCTGTTGTAGTGGTCGTACTGGTGACTGCATTTAATGACTACACAAAGGAAAAGCAATTCCGTGGCTTACAAAATAGAATAGAAGATGAACACAAGTTTTCTGTGATCCGTGGGGGAGAGGTGGTGCAGCTACCTGTGGGGGAAATATTGGTAGGCGACATTTGCCAAGTAAAATATGGTAAGCATATATCAGGGAAAATTGCATCTTTTAAAGCGATGTCTCAAATACATTTGCATAGAAACCTACACTAAAATTTAATCTTACCTATTAGTGCATATATACTCCTAATAACACCACCTTAGAAATTACCAAGAATATGTGCTTTATGGTTATAAAAGAGTGAATTGAACAGAGTACTTCAGTGAATGTTTTTAGAGTTCTTGAATATTTAATTTAACATGACGTCAGACAAGAGGATCCAAGTTCATGCTGTAATATTTTTTCAATCATGTTTTTTGTTTAAAAGAATTGCACCAGCTGTTTCCTTCTGGATTCCCCCAATTCACCAGTGTCTTTATTTCTCTTTAAATTCACCACCTTTCATATCTATATAGTGATGATAAGGTCCACGGACCAAATTTGCTGGTAAACATTGTCGCAGAAGCTATTGAATTGATTTATGGATTGGTGGTGTCTGGCACTCTAGTGAGAATCAAGCGACATCATCCTGGAAATCAAACTTGATTAATATTTGTAACTGTTGTATATTTAGGTGGCTATAACAATGTACGAGCCTTATGAGACATTAACTTTGCGACTGATATTTGCTGTAAATCAAGGAATGCATAGTTTTGCTCAAATGTCTTGGCAAATATGAGAAATTATTCCTCTAATGGTTTTTACCAAACAATTATCTAGTTTAGTTCACATTGCTGTTATTCAGATTATCTTGTTTTGCTAGTAGTAATTTAGTGTGTTATCTTTTTATTTGTTGAAATGTGGTTTTGCATTATCACTGTTCTGTTGTTTTTAGGTGATTTATTGCCAGCAGATGGCATTGTTATCCAAAGCAATGACCTTAAAGTGGATGAGAGTTCGCTAACAGGAGAGTCTGACCATGTGAAAAAAAGTGAGACGACAGATCCACTGCTACTGTCAGGTAAACGGATTCTTACACTCTGCCACCCACTCTAGCAACAACCTTGTTTTAAAATCAGTTTAGCGCTTGTAGGTTTTAATATCACAATTATATTAAAAATCATCCAACCTTCAGTGTTTAGACTGTCAGTCAGAAAGTCACGTGAACGCTTAGTTGATGTCACATAACTATCAGTCATATACATATTCTTTCTGTTTGGTGCTGGACTGTGGACAAAGAACTTTGTATTAAATATTGATATTTCGCTTTTACAAGATTTCTCGTCATTTTCAAACTTCCAAGCTGAAATGTTTATTTAACAAGTATAGGCTTTTCCGCGCGGTTCCTGATGCATTGTGAATCCAATTATGAAATCCGGCATACAGATTATGAATTAGTAAATCGGAAAATGTCCAGAGATTGATTTAATGGAAGCAAGAGACAACATGTCTGAACAATTCTGTCGTGTGCAATGCAGTCAGCCATGAGACACCATTACAGACCTCACACCATGAGACAACATTACAGACTTCACACCATGAGACAACATTACAGACTTCACACCATGAGACAACATTACAGACTTCACACCATGAGACAATGTTACAGACTTCACACCATGAGACAACATTACAGACTTCACACCATGAGACAACGTTACAAGTTTTTATAAGGAATGTGATAACGAATGCGTAATTAATTGCATGGACACTTGTAGCCATGCACGTCTGCACACTAAGTGGCTGCAACTGACAAACAGTAATGATCTAATCACGGTTGCAACCTTCATCAGCAATAGTGATTATTACCTTAATTAAGCAAGAATGCTCTCTAGCTACTGTAATAATAGTAAGAGACTATGGCATGGTAAGTCAATGAGTGTTATGTAAATTGGATGCCTCAAATTAGGCTCTGTAACCTATTAAGGAAACATTTAAAGCCAACACGTGTAAACGTGTGATTTCACAGTGGGCAGAGCTAAAGCCTAGTGCAGACTTGCAACTTTTGGTCGTGCGTCGCTGCAACATGCAATCGCATGCGATCGGTCGCACGCCTCGCCGAGTGTGCGCATGCAAGCGACTGGCTACCATTTGGCGAAAAATGATGCTGGCGCCATGGGCAGTATTTACCCGTCATTTCCAGTTGGATCGCGACATCTTTATATGCCACATGTTTCTTAGTGCGATCGCTGTATTCCGGCAGTGTAACATCAAACAAAACCGGCCTCTCCATCCACATAGCTAGCAAAATGCTTTCTTTCTCATCACTCCAGCTTGTTGCTGTGAACGTAGCCATATTGAAATATCACGTGATGAGAAGGTGCTCGCTGATTGGTCAGACAAGAATGTGTCATCGTTGCAAGTCGCTGTCTACCCGCACACATGCGATTTCGAAGCGATTTCGGAGCGACGAGTTGCTGAAAATCAAACGTTTGATTTCTTGCGACTCGTCGCAAGCGACCAGAATCACACAGTTGCTCGTTCCCGCAGACCTAGCGATTTCTCATGCGACTCTGGCTGCGATTCTAGAATCGCAGCCGAGTCGCATGAAAAAGTTGCAAGTCTGCGCTAGGCTTAAGAGTGCAGTCACAGGTTTGTTGAACACGTTGCCTCATACTTGCTAACACGAGCACGTTTATATGCATAGAATGGTGCATTCGACAGTATGACAAACATTGGCAGGTAACAGGGGTCAAACAGAATAAGAGCCAAAATGCAAACACAAGATGCGAATAAGAAACAAAAACACATCATGGTGAACCTTTAATAATTGATATATATATATACGTATGATTGTTTTAGGCACACATGTAATGGAAGGTAGTTGCAAGATGCTGACAGTAGCAGTGGGAGTAAACTCGCAGACTGGAATTATTTTCACACTGCTTGGCGCAGCATCACAGGAGGAGAAGGAGGAGAGGAAACGGCGGAAGAAGCAGGGTAAGAAGGAAAATTTGCATTGCCTTTTTTCACAATAGTTCGTCACACACTATAGTTCCACCAATATTTCCTTCTCTAGCATCTCCAACACTATCCACTTCCACCCATCCACACTAGCCAGTCCCACTCTACCACTCTTACACTAGCCACTCCCATATTATGCCCTCTCAGCCTCATCCGTGAGTCCATTTATTACACCAGAATGTTTAACAGATCTTGCTTTGTAGAAGGATGGGTTGCGAATGGGCGGACGTTGCCACGCGACCAATTCTACTGTTCATATTGTACTTACTATAATTAAAGGTGCCTGTCATGAAAATAATCTAAAATCTAAACAACGTGCCTTCCTTTTCAATTCAAATAAATTGTAAGTTGTATAATATTGGTAACTGTACAATTACTGTACAAAGTAGATAAACTATTACGACAAGTACATATGTAGTATCAAGAACATATAATTAAGACAGACTAAGCCACGTAATGGCGATATTATTCGAAACGATGCATCAAAATGCAGAGAAACAGCCTATCGACCTTTTTGCAACTACGGTTACTGTTTGGCTGTAGGCCCTAAAGGTCACATAAAACACACAAGAAAAGGCATTTCGTTGCTTTGATTTCGACTGTCGAGTGCCATCAAGCGCGTTTGAATCACGCGTTACTTTGAGCTGTCCAAATTAGTCATTTGACTCGCCGTGCGATAGAGACATACGCGCGCGCGCACGCACGCACACAAGCAAACACTCCCACACACAGATACCCCGTATACTGACAACAAAATTTGATCCCACATTAAACTAGTCCAGGACTGGCGCGCGTCAAAACGTAGCGTACAGACACAAAAGTCTGAAGCGTGCCAAATTGGCACGGATTGACTATGCATGCGCAGTTACGTCACTCAACAGACAGCTATTGTATAAGTCTGTGCGCATGCGTATTGCGAAATCTGACGCGCGCCTGGCCCCACACTGCGTACACACACGTTGAAAGCGGGCTAACTTGGTACGCTCCAAGTTAGCCCACCTCGAAGTGGGCTTGGCCCTCCTTCATTTGCGGGGCCAAATTGGTGTGGGTCAGCGCGTATTTGGAGCGGGATAGCGTGTACACACGGCAAAAATTTGACTCCCGCCTGGCCCGGACTAGTTAAATGTGGGATCAAATTTGTAGTCTGTACGGGGTAAGACAGACAGACAGACAGACAGACAGACACACCATGACACACACTCGCACATATGCGCGCACATTTGTGATGGTAGCTAGGGCTGAGAGGGTCTATGTCCCCCAGGGTACTGCCGGAACGTACCCTGGGTACGGTCCGGTATACCGGAACGTACCCTGGTAATAAATACTACTACCTAATATGCCGGTCCGTACCTCGCCTACTCCATTACCGAGTCTAAGGAGTCGCCTACGCCTACTCCTTAACCCTAACCCTAACCCGGCCTAATCCTAACACTAACCCTAACCCTAACCCTAACCATATCAGCTAAATAGTATACCGTACCCAGGGTACGTTCCGGCAGTACCCTGGGGGACATAGACTCTATGAGCGTAGCTAGGTGATCCTGGCCGTTGAACAATTCTACATAGAAGAGACATCTGCGATGTAAACATTTAGCTTTCTAAAGCTTGTAAAAAACATCTACTGCTTCCATAGAGATGATAGAGATGTATATGTACAGTCGCGTATCGTTCCCAACGAACCCTAGAGATATATCCACATCATTCCAGCCAACGCTACAGGCGGTGGCTTTCAAGGCAATGCTAGTAGCTAGCAACCGTTGCATTATCTTATTCTCCCTTCAACGTGCACTTGAGCCGTTGAAATAATAATATGATTGCATATAAACACAAATTGTATTTAATACTAAATTCTTAATGTTTATATATTCTCTATCTATTTATAATTTCATGTAAATGGCGTTAAAATGCTCATCTGCAACACACAGTGTTACCAGACGCACGCCACTGAACACATAGTAAAAAAAAAAAGATGGAGACATCTGTTTATAGTATAGAGACGCAATCCTTTCCTGAGTTTTAATATAGGGAAGTGCGTGTGGAGATATTGTGTGTTGCAGAGAAGCATTCAAACGGTATTTACGGGGAATTGTTACTAATAATAGACGGTAGAGACTGGGTAAACATTAAAACTTTGGTAGTAAATACAATTCGTCTTTATTTGCTATCATTTCATTGAAACGGCCCTCGATCTGCTCCCCTCCGTAGGCGTGTTTTTGAAAACTCGTGGATGTTCTGCCTGCAGTCTCTCGATCCGACGGTTTGTGTTCACTAACCTCCTCCTTTATTCTCACCGCCATGACGTACTTGCTCTTATTTCCTACTTAGCTCTGTGTTAAAACCTATCCGAACACATACACGCACACACGCACACATACACGCACACACGCTCGCACGCGCGCGTGCAATTCTCGTATGCGGTGTTTATCCCGTAACAGACCGATAGTAGTCTCTTAAGAGTCCGTACCCGCAAGACAGCCGGCTGCTGGCTTATACTCTCGCTCCCCCACACACCACCCACACCCAACCCCACACCCCACACCATCCCTATACGTTCCATAAGAGCTGTACATTTGCGCTGTCTCTGCGCGCGATTGCTCGGGCCATCGCTCACACGGAGCATGCCACGAGGAGCCAGGGGAGCTGAGGATACTGCACTGCCCACAGAATAACACACAGCTCCACTGTACACGGGGGAAGGGCGTGTGTGTGCGTGCGTGCGTGGCGTGCGTGCCTGTGCCTGTGGCGCGTGCGTGCGTGTGCGTGGGCGTGCGTGCGTGCTTGCGTGCGTTCGTGTGTGCGTGTGTGTGTGTGTGTGCGTCGTGCGTGCGTGCGCGCGTGCGTGCGTGCGTGTGTGTGTGTGTGTGTGTGTGTGTGTGTGTGTGTGTGTGTGTGGTGTGTGTGGTGTGTGTGTGTGTGTGGTTGTGTGTGCATGATGCAAGCTTGTGTGTGTACGTGAAGGAAGTTACATAAAGGTGGAACACGACTGGTATACACGTTATGGGCACACGAGTGAGATTGACGCACTCCTGTTATTAATAATATGTGACTACCTCGCCGAGCCAACAACACCAGGCGGCTGCCATAAGGAGGCGTGGTACTGCGGGGAGGCAGCTGCCGCCGACGTGATGCTAATGATTCCAACAGGGTTTCCCACAAACCGCGCGCGCCGAATTAAAATAATTACAGTTGCTAAATTAGTTCGCCATGACAGGGAGCATGCAATCATGCCGGTAGTGCTCATCGTCGTGCAGCCGAAGGGACACAATATCGGCTGGCTTGCGGCTAGCCACTGTCGATGCTGTCCGCGGGATACGTGAGGCGTACAGGCAGGTAGCCAGGGAAAGGTGTGATACACGTGTGCAGGCAGGCAGCCAGGGAAGGTGTGATACACGTGTGCAGGCAGGTAGCCAAGGGGAAGGGTGGATACACGTGTGCAGGCAGGTAGCCAGGGGAAGGTGTGATACACGTGTGCAGGCAGGTAGCCAGGGGAAGGTATGATACACGTGTGCAGGCAGTAGCAGGGGAAGGTGTGATACACGTGTGCAGGCAGGTAGCCAGGGGAAGGTGTGATACACGTGTGCAGGCAGGTAGCCAGGCAGAAAGGTATGATACACAGTGTGCAGGGTAGGTAGCCAGGGAAGGTGTGATACACGTGTGCATGCAGGTAGCCAGGGAAGGTATGCTACGTGTGCAGGCAGGTAGCCAGGGGAAGTGTGATACACGTGTGCTGGCAGGCAGCCAGTCGGGAAGGTATGCTACACGTGTGCAGGCAGGTAGCCAGGGAAAGGTGTGATACACGTGTGCAGGCAATGCATGTAGGCCAGGGAAGGTGTGATACACGTGTGAAGGCAGGTAGCCAGGGGAAGGTATGATACACGTGTGCAGGCAGGTAGCCAGGGGAAGGTGTGATACACGTGTGCAGGCAGGTAGCCAGGGGAAGGTGTGATACACGTGTGAAGGCAGGTAGCCAGGGGAAGGTATGATACACGTGTGGCAGGCAGCAGCAGCGGCCGAAGGTGTGATACACGTGTGCAGGCAGGTGCAGGGAAGGTGTGATACACGTGTGCAGACAGCGTAGCCAGGGGAAGGTGTGATACACGTGTGCAGCAGGTAGCCCAGGGGAAGGTGTGATACAACGTGTGCAGGCAGGTAGCCATCGGGAAGGTGTGATACACGTGTGCAGGCAGGTAGCCAGGGGAAGGTGTGATACACGTGTGAAGGCAGGCATGTAGCCAGGGGAAGGTATGATACACGTGTGCAGGCAGGTAGCCAGGGGAAGGTATGCTACACGTGTGCAGGCAGGCAGCCAGGGGAAGGTGTGATACACGTGTGCAGGCATGCAGGTAGCCAGGGGAAGGTGTGATACACGTGTGAGGCAGGTAGCCAGGAAGGTATGATGACGCGGTGTGCAGGCAGGCAGCCAGGGGAAGGTATGATACACGTGTGCAGGCAGGTAGCCAGGGGAAGGTGTGATACACGTGTGCAGGCAGCATGTAGCCAGGGGGAAGGTATGATACACGTGTGCAGGCAGTAGCCAGGGGAAGGTATGATACACGGTGCGGGCAGGTAGCCAGGGGAAGGTGTCATACACGTGTGCATGCAGGTAGCCAGGGGAACGGTGTGATAACACGTGTGAAGGCAGCATGTGCCGAGGGGAAGTATGATACACGTGTGCAGGCAGGTAGCCAGGGAAGGTGTGATACACGTGTGCAGGCAGGTAGCCAGGGAAGGTGTGATACACGTGTGAAGAGGCATAGTTAGCCAGGGAAGGTATGATACACGTGTGCAGGCAGGTAGCCAGGGGAAGGTATGATACGCGTGTGCCAGGCAGTGTAGCCAGGGGAAGGTGTGATACACGTGTGCAGGCAGTAGCCAGGGGAAGGTATGATACGCGTGTGCAGGCAGGCAGCCAGGGAAGGTATGATACAGCTGTGCAGGCAGGTAGCCAGGGGAGGTGGGATACACGTGTGCAGGCA